TGGCCTCTGCCATGGCTCCGTTCCATCCCAGGCACCAGGACAGCTCTGGGGACAGGAGAGGCCGTGGTGAGGATGGGACATCACTCAGAGTGCCAGAGGCACTCCCTGGCTGTGTGTGTGCTCAGAGCATCCCTGCAGCACTGGGGACCCCCAAAGCTGGGTTTTGGGGAGCTCCTGGACTGAGTCTGAGCAGCATCAGAGGGGCCCAGGCTGGCTGGGCTGGGACGGGGCCTCAGGCAGGGCTGGGCAGTGTCAGAGGTGACCGGTGGAAGGCCAGTGTTATGTAAATAGTGCTGCTGTTACATGGCAGGCCTGAATGGCCCTATGTGTCCATCCATCATTGCTGGGGAACAGAAGCCTCCCTGGGAGCATGGGGGGCCAGCAGTGTGGGGCATGCAGACACAGGCAGCATGTGCCCTGCTCATAAACTGTTTGTTTTCTTTTTGTCTCTCTCATTTCGGGGCTCCCCACTGAGAGCAACTCTCTGTTCTGTACTTGCAGCCTCTCCCCCAACCTTCCCCCCACCACTTCAGGCCATCCTTTTCCTCTCTTATTTCCCCGGCCCTTAAAAAAATGGAAGGGAAAAAAAGGGGGGAAGAAAAAGTCCCCAGTTCACACTGCGGCTTCTTTCTCTGACATCAAAGGCTCCTCATCATTGTTTGGGATCGGCAGGCAGTGGCCCTGAAAACGTGATCACAGCCGAGCACAGTGTAGGTCACCACTGAGCGCCATGCTCCAAGTGCTGAAAGGAACAGGCAGATTCTTCCCTTTTCATGCTTCACAACCCTGGTTACAGCACTCTGCCTCGCTGCCTGCTCCTCGCTGCGTGGCTCTTCTTGCTCTTTTCTCCTCCTTTTCTTCTGCCCTCCTCTCTCTGTTTCTCCCGGCTCCCTCATTCCTCCCTTCGTTTCGTCCTGCCCTTCTCTGTGCCCAGCATCACACACTTCTCACACTCTCTTCTTTCCATTGCTTTTCTTCTCACTGTCTCCTGGCACTGCTGCCACTCCTCTTTGTTATATGAATCACTGTTTTATTTCTCCCTTTTCCCTCTTCTAAAGGTCAGGTTGGAGGTTGATTTCCTCATCCTCCCTGTTCTGTTTGGTGGCAGCCTTCCTCTGACATTCGCACACATTTCTGTCTTCCCCTGTGCTCTCTCACTCACTGTGCCCAAAACTACGGTTGTTGTGTAATTTCTGGATTAGTGCTAGACAGCCAACAACCCTCTCTGCAAAGGGTGAGCTGGCTGCCTTCATGTGCAGTGGGTTTATCTCCCAAAATTTACCATGGCCTCGTGTGGGGAGGCAGCACACAGCACCTGCCAGCAACATCAGCTTCCAAACTTGCTCCTTGGCTTTGATGGTTAACCTGGAGGAGTGAGCAGGAGGGGTTAGTGTTGTACGTGGATTTGGCTAGGCACTGACTTCATATATATCACAGGGAAACATTGAAATAATTTCATATTGTGTGGAACATGCTGCTGATGGTGGTGCTAAAGGCAGTTAGGCAGGGATGAGGCAGAGGAGCAGGSCCAGCAGTTGGAATGGGAATCCCACATTCATCAGTGGATTTCAGTGAGGGAACAGCTCTTGGTTGTGCTGAAGATAGGGCACGTTTGGCAGCACACAGCAGATGGCAACTCCTGCCTGCAGAACATCCCCTGCAAGATCTGGAGCTTCATTCTGCTGCAGGGGGAGAGCGTGGGGCCCCTCCAGCACCATCCAAGGAACGCTGCCCTCGGCCCAGCCCCGGAGTGCAGATCACACTGCTTGTGCCTCTGGTGATTTGTGAGGTTGTTTTAATGCCGAGGAGCCCACCAGGACTTGTCTCTTGCTAAATAGGCGTATTAAGGGACATTGCAGCAGGGGTTATAGAGTAATAATTTGTCCTAATGAGCTGGTGTCACGTTCTCCCCGGCTGAGCTGTGCCTGAGCAGGAGCCGTGCGAGGAAGGGGCTGCACTCCTGACCTGTCAGCCCAGGTTAATGAAGTTCTGCACTGCTCGGGGGTCAGAGAGCAGCAGTTCTGCCAGTCAGCACTGCTCGGGGGCTGCAGGGGAAGGATGGGGCTCTCCCTGTGCTGAATGCCCGGGAAGGCCTGTGCCATGCTGGACAGAGCAGCAGGATGCCCCTTATGGCACTGGCATCTCCCTGCTGTGCTGCTGGGGTGAGCCAGACCCCTCCTGGAACAGGCAGGGCTGAAACTGCTCCAGCTTGGTGTAGCTGGGGCTTGTCCTCTGGCCTTGCACGAGAGCCCAGGCTGTGGAAGGAGCCTGGACAAACAGGAGAACACCTCTGTTACAGATGCTTACAGGCACCAGGGGATGGCTGCAGGCAAGTGGCCAGTGGTGATGACCAGTGGTGATGACCAGTGGTGATGAGCAGTGGTGATGACCAGTGTCTAGCTAGGAAATCTATAGAGACAGAGTGCTCATCCTTCCCTTTGGGCACAGAGTTTTTGAACTGACAGAAATTCTCCTTGTCTTTCCTGTTCCCTCTTTTTCCTCCCTTTTTGTTCCCCATGGCTTGCTGAGATCCTTTGCCTTGCAAACCTTGCCATTTGCTCCCATCCCCTCTGGGTACATGGGCAGGAAAGAACCAGGAACTTTGGGCAGTCGCCCCGTGACCACCTCGGTGGCAGGACAGCCTGGGCAGTTTGAGCAGAGCTCCAAATTCTGCAAGAGAGGGCAGGAGAAGCTGTGAGCAGGAATTGCTGGCCCAGCTGCAGCCTTGGGGACCCTGCCCTGCTCTGTGGATGGTATCCCATGTCTGCTGGGGCAGGATGGTGCCCTTGGCCACTCCAGCACTCAAGGCCTGTAGATCACCTTCCTCCTTGTCCTCCTTCCACACTTTGCTCCCCCCTCCGCTTCTCTTTGCTTTTCCCTGTCTCCATCTCTCTCTCCCTTTCATCTACTCAGAAGGCTTTACTCTACTTCCTTGTCACCCTAATTGATTGCATTAACCTTTCAGCGTATTGGATTTCCCCAGCACCGTGCAGAGAGCACTGTGCAATATGCTGATAATCCGGGCTGTAATGGACAGGGAGCAGTCAACAAGCCCTGCTCCAACAGGTTCTGCTGACAACTTCTCAGGGAGAGGGAGAGGGAGAGGGAGAGGAGAGGAGGGCAGCAGTGGGATGGGAGGCACAGGGTCCTGAGCCCATGCAGACCCAGCTCAGTGCTCCCCCGAGCAGGAGTGTCTTGGCTTCTGAGAGTGCAGTCCTTAGGAAAGGATCYGTCTTGGGAAGCAGGGGGGAGATGTTATGCTTGACCTGTTACTGTAATTTTTCTYAGTGTTTGAGCACCATTCTTCCCTATCTGCTCAGTCTACAGTTTTGTTCCATCTGTTCAATACTAAATTAATGTGCACTTTACAGTTAGGCACTTGTTGCTCCTGGCAGGATGAGAAGACAGTATCATGGAATTTCCTGTTTTCACATCATACTTGCCTCTGCCTCTTCCTTTAGGATGAGCATATGAGGGAGGGCACTTTCCCTCAGGCTTTGAAGAAAAGCAGAGGAATATCGTGTTGATAAGAAAGACAGCACCAAGGTGCAGAGAGATCAGGGCAGAAGCCCTGAATTATCTCAGGCTTGGCCTTGTACGAATCCTTTCACTCCCTAGAGCCTGATTTTCACCCA